CGGGAGTCCTGTACCTGTCCGCACAGCCCCAGAGAGAGGTATTTAATCCTGCCAGCTCTGGGTCCGTCCCCTCGTGCAGGGGAAGGTTGGGGTGTGCTGGAGTCCGGTCTGCCCGGCGGCTTTCAGTCAAGAGCCGCCTCTCCCCGGTGATGGGGTCAGCGGGTGGGTTCCCGGGGCCGGCAGCTCCTGGGTGCCTCAGTCGGGCAGTGGGGGCTGTGTCCCCGGGTGATATATCCAGCTTTCCGCACCAGGACTGACATGCCGCAGCCTCAAGTGAGGATGTTTCTGTAGTTTGTGGTTCCAGCTGCCGGGTACACTCTCCATTTTACTGGGCTTGGGGTGGTTCTTGTCTTTAGCCTATTGCTGACTTCTGCCATTTGCATTTCAGTGGTGGTTAGGATGGGATATGCGTGTTAAGTGATTGCTTTGGATTTTGTGATAGTGAAATGAAAAAAATGATAGAGGCGTTTACTGCGTCAGGTCACCGGATTTTGCACATCAGGTTCTGGAATTCCCCAAGACCTGAGCTGTAGGTGCATATCACTGAAAAAACAGGAATCAGTGACCTCAAGAAACTGCTGTATTCTCTCTCTTCCTGAGGCCATCCTTGTGTCCCCCGAATATTGCTGAGCTTTCTAAAAGCCAAAAATACCCCCTATTATTCATGTAACAAAGTTCAGCCAAGCAGCCTCTGCTTGAGCAGGCACAGCTCAGGAGGGTTGCTGACGAGGTTTGATGCTCTGAATTCCCGATATGGAGCTTGGTACTGTATCCAATTTAGCTTAGATCTGAGATCCTCAGTTACTTCCCTGGTGGATTCATCGCGCTGACAGGGAATGGAAATGAGAGGAGCGTTGCAAGAGAGTCTGGCAAGTGCGAATCTCCTATTTTGTATAATTGTCATGAACAAGGAGTCCTTGCGCTTGCTGTAGTGCAGAGTGTAGTGTTACTTTAACCATCTCTTAATGCTTCAGTAAAAATGCATTTTTAATGACTTCAGTAGGATTTGTTATTTGGGAGAGCTTAAATAGGGTCCATATGGATTTTATTTTTTTAAAGTGCTTTATGGTTTTCTAAATAAAATAGATCTGAAATACCAGGAGTAGGCACCACGGGTTCTGGAGCAATGTCAACAAGTATTGTTGTACTATAAACAGCAGAGATCTCTGTCTTGGCAGCTGCTGGGACTAGCAATAGCTGTCTTGTGTTCGTGGCTGGTCCTGACAACTGACTAAATTCAGGCATTTGAGTCCTGTCTTGCTTCAAATAGTTACTTACTTGATGGGCTGAACTGTTTAAAAAAAATTCCTTGGGCTTTTGGAAGATAAAATGTTGGAAATCATCTGGTAGCTGATCCCTTGAGATATTCCAGTGTCAGCTCAGAAATAAACTGTGGTATGTTCTTAATTTAGTTGTCCCATCTTTATTCCTTTCTCCTGTAGAAACAGGAAGTAGCTGATGCAAATTTCATGTTGCTGACAGCAGTTTGTCGGGCTTTAGAAAACCTGAATCTGAACAGAGGCGTAGGTTTGACTTGCTTTGGCTATAAAACTAACATTTGTGTCTTCCAGAATGTCTAAGTGAGGACTTAGGTTAGTGTGCTGTCTCAGGCAACCGGAAGAGTTTTATTTATGCTGTTTTTATGAGAACTTGCTCACTCCTCTGAGGACTGGCCTTTGGCTGGAACATGCCAACTCCTTGATGTTCTCCAAACAGGAAACTCCTCTTACTGTGGTGTTGTACAGGTTCAGCTTTGGGATAGCGAGTGTTGTTACAGATAAAATCCCTTCCCTTTATTGCTCTGATCAGTATATCAAAACAGTCTAGTTGTAGATGAAAGCCTGTTTGCTGTACAGTGTGTTCAATACCATGTTCCCAAGCTTTGATGGAAATAAAGGCTAGTTAATACATTAACCAAATGTACTATGAAAATGAATGGACTTTCTGGCCCAGGGTGAAATGCGTGTTTGCTGCGAGGCCATAGCTTCCGCTCCATTGGTAATCAAAGTTCAATTGAATTTAAACAAGACCTAGGTTTAAATCCTGCATTATAGTCCCAAAAGGGAGAGCTTCATCTCAACTCTACTTCTGTCAGCTGGAGAACTGTAACGCCCGGCTGCACAGCGCAGCTTGAAAGCCTTTCTCATTCCTCCTGAGCACAGAACGATGCGCTGAACAAAAATGACTCTTCGGTAGTCTATGTGTCTCAGCTTCCTCTTTAAAGAAGACAAATGAGATCCCATTATACGTACTTTATTGAGATCTGTGAAGTCAGTTTGTCACTTCCTGACAAATTATTCTGCATTCAGGGTGATCAATAGACAAAACACTGTTTAGATGTAGCCCAAGCAGGTCTACTTGGTCATCTTGGTTTTGCCTCGCTAAACGTTAATCCCTCTGGATTGCAGACTCAGGCTGTTGATGTTAGTTACAACAAAATCTTTTTATTTCATTCTGGATGCGTATGTAGATAGCAGAAAGAGCTGCATCCACAGGGCAAAGAGTATGGTAAGGGTGAGTCAAGATAGCTTTAGCAAGGAGGGACTGAGATACAGCTTCTTGCTCTAGGACTTTGTGCTGCCTGGGCTTAGTTCTGATTTTGCTGCCAATTTAGCAAGTGACTTATCTTGCAAGTTGTCCTAATGCTGCCCATTAAACAGAAATTAAAATGAGTTCACCATCTGCCAGATAGCGCTAGGTTTACAAAGCTATCGAGCACTGTGAGCTTATGGCTTCTATCAGGGAAACCCAGGAAGGATGTGTCAAACGGCAAGGAGGCTGGAAGGAATCTGAATCTCAAGGAAGACTTTCTTGTTAAAGGACATTAATCCCGACACCATATCTAGAACTGATGCGATATGCTCCTTGCACCAGCGTGTTTTATTGCTGGTAGGAAGCAGCTTTCCATCTGGACTTTCTGATTTAGTAATCCTGGTTTGAAATGCAGTTTGTAACTCGGTAACGGGGCTGATCAGATTAGAGCTTCAGATGGAATGCGGTGGGGATCAGTAGTGCAGAACAGCAGCTTCATCTGCCCAACGCTCAGTAAACCTGATGTCCTTCCTGAAACCCCTGCATTACACCCCTCTATCTTGCTGCACTCTTGAAGCATGGGAGGATTTAACAGGTGGCTCTTTCGGGGAAAAAACCCACCCTTCTTTTAGTGTGCTGAGAGCGGGGGAGGCAGAGCTCTGCTCTTGGCTGCGCTCCCACTTGAAGACGTGAGCCCCATTCTGGATGCGTCGTTTTCGGCTGCAGCAGAGCGCTGACGATCCTGTGGTCAGGATTTCTACATTGTATGGAACAAAAAAAAATAAAAGAGGTATTCATTACTGTTGATTATATGGGTGACCGCCCACAAGTTTCAGCCTCTCTGAACTTTTTTGTATCTGGAAGCCATCCAGTTGCTGCTGTCCAGTTTTATGCACAGTATCTCCTCTGGCTCACTCTTGCACAGAGGAGGAAACCGCTCTCTTCCTCTTGGAAGTGGGGTGGCCTCTCCCCTGCCCCCCACATCAGTGTTGCTTCTCCTGATGCAAGCAGGCGAAAGAGGGGTGGAAAATGGCCTTGTTTGTCTTGTGACATCAGTGCCACTCGTGACTAATGCTGGATCTGCCCCACATCCTCTGGAAATTGGGTGAAAACATGCACTTTGGAGAAGGGCTGAGAAGGCTTGTGAGCAAAAGCAAAACCCTAGTTAGAACTTCAGGTTTAATTTCTGAGGGAGATCTAGTATCAGTTTGTCAACGCAGCTGAGTAAACCCTGCCTTCCTTTTTGGGTATGCTGGGGAACGTGGTGGGAAGGACGTTCCCCTTCAGGCAGGGTTTTGAGCTCTCGCAGGCTGTTGCAATAAGAAGGAAGCCATGTCCCGGCCATAATAGTGAGTCACATTGTAAAATCTTTCAATGAGTGGTGATAAGATAAAAATGCCATTGGTGACTTGCTACTCCCTCCCTACATTCCCAGTGTGTTAGTGTGCTTGGAGCGTGACTCGTCTTGCTCCTTGGCACTGAGTCTCTGCAAAGCAGTAATTAAATGAAAAGTTTATATGACACTTAGGACTTTTCCAGATGAGATGCTTCAAATGACTTATGTGCCTAAATTGCCTTCCTGTGCAGTGTTTGCAGAGTAAATTCTGCAGTTCAGATACCGAAGCCTGTAGAGGGAGAGGATGAACAGGGGCGCATTGTTGTAAAAGCAGCCATGCCGCCTTAGCTTGTGCAGCTGCTTGCTTGTCTTAGCGTGTGCCAGGGTGGCTTGTTCTGCATGCTGATGCTCTGTACAGTAGTGATGCTGGAGTTATAGATGTTCCTTGGAGGAATTCAAGACTCCAGGAGGTCCCCACAGATGCATTTGCAGAATCAAAACCACTAGTTCTAACCTGAAGCATGTGAACTCCCAGTAAAGCAGTTGTACTAGATTTGCTCTATGGTCACAGCAGGGACTTTGGCCAAGAACTGACTGCAGTGAGATTCTGTGCAGACCTTCGTTTTATTAAGTGGTGTCAATACAAGGTTAGAAGATTTAAGTTTTAGTGTCCTTACATGTGTAAGAAGTCCTTACAATGGAATAAAGCTATGTGGCCATTAAGGAGGGACTGTGGCAATAGAAAGTGGTGGTGTGCATGCCTGTTGCATAATCCGAATGTCCCCACTAATTTGCAGGTATCCTGCTGCCCATCATCAGGATGCAGAGCTAGGTAGAAATTTTTCTTCTGGAACTGGTAGAGCTTGTACCAGACAGCTGATAAATCCTCTTCAATGTTTGGCATACAACTTTCATACCGTCAGAGGACACAAATAGTTGTATTCTGTCTGTGCAGGTTGTGGACAGCAGTAGATATGGAAAGACTGGTTGAACGGTTGGAGAAGGCTGTGGAGCGCCTGGAGACGGTGTGCCAAGGACCTGGCATGTGTGGAGATGGTTCTTCCAAAGGTAAGGTCCAAAGGACCTCCCCAGCAGCGTCGCTCCACGGGACTCCCTGTGCTGAAGCGTCAGCCGGGCGGTGCGGCAGTGTTGGACGTCAGCAGTAGCTGTTGCAGAGCGAGCGATGCTCGTGCAGGACATGCAAAGGGCTGTTGGATAAACTGGCTGTGCTCAGAGGGGAAGTGAGTTTTGCAGCAGGTACTGCGCAAACGCAGAGAGGCCTGTGGTTACCATCCTGTTGAGATAAGGACTTCCTGTGGCTGCAACGCTTCCCTCGTCTGCGTTCAGCTGCATGTTTTGGGATGAGCCTCCTGCATTTGGTCGATGTGGCCCGAGGGAAGGTTCTGCGTGGAGCAGGTGGGAGGTGCAGCCCGGGAGCAGTGCATGTGTGTAAGTGCACCCAGCTCAGAAGCCCACCCAGTGCCTCTCGGTGATACCTGTGCTCTGCTTCCTTCTCTGCAGGAGTGGCTCAGTACGTGCAGGCTTTCGATGCCCTTCTGGCTGGCCCAGTAGCTGAGTACACCAAGATCAGCAAAGAAGTCGGCGGGGATGTGCAGAAGCATGTAAGGACTCACATTCTCCCCCCACTCTATATAGATGCTGCTTGTTCTTCAGGGCTGTTAAGGGCAAAGTTTGCCGTCAGTGCTTGCATTCCTTTAGCACTGTATTCTAAGATGTTTATAATCCTCAAGGATTCCAAACAGGTGCAGATGCCCAGATAACCTCCAGCAGATTGCCACCTACACACGCTATGAATCAAACCTCCTTCTTGAAATCTTTGTTAGTTAGGTGCCTTGTTCTTTTTATGGACTTTGGCGCATGCCTTTAGGAGGCCTGTAAACTACCCAGCCCAAGAGCTGTTACACTCCTGAGAGTTTGCTCTGAGGATGGGTGTCTCCAGGAATACGTGCTCTGAGATCAGCATAGCTGCTTGCTTACAGACTAGGAACCGCAAGCAGCGGGAGCTTGAAAGACTGTTAGCGTTACACTGGGTACAAGGGAAGCTCGCTCATGTTTCTCTCTATTCTTAGGCTGAGATGGTTCATGCAGGCTTGATGAGTGAGAGGGCTCTTCTGGTGATGGCATCCCAACATCAGCAGCCAACAGAGGTAAGTCTGGGAAATCACTCATCAGAAATCTTGTATGCCCTTACCTCAGAGTCGGGGTGAATGCCCCTGTAGGAGAATCTGGGCTGAGACAGTTGCTCCAAAAGAGGAACTGGAGGAAGACTGGGGACATTTGCATCCATGAGGTGGCACTTGCTGAAAGCGTGAACTGTTCCAGGGGCTCACCCAATACTGGGCAGAATTCCGGAAGTTGATTCTTAGAGCTGCAGAACTGGCATTTTCCAGTCATTAGAATAACAAGTTTTCTGTAGCTGTCAGAGCAGCTTGTGAGTGTCCTCTCACAGTGTCTGTCTCGAGTTTCACCTGGCACCAGCACTGCACAATCACTGTTCCCCCAGATGCAACCGACAGACAGGAACTTGTCTGAGACAGGAGCCACAGTGGAATTTGCGTAGAGCGTGCTTTTCATTATGTGATACTTACAGACTTTCAGGTATTGAACTCCTTCTGAAGTGTAACAGACACTTGTCTCTCTTGAATGGTCTCTGAATAATAGCTAGGCTTTTAGGATTGATTTGTCCTTAGCAAGTAATTGAACACTTTACCCTAGGCTGCTGCTTCTGAGCAGGATGTGTGACTGACAATATGATCCTGAATGCATTGGCTTTTCCCTGCTGAGAACTGTTTTTCCTGAGCAACAGGATCCCACCTTGCTTTTCTTTGCAGTTATTATCTGGCTTAGTCATGGCTTCTCCTGTTACGTTGTGGTAGCTGGATTTTTGTGCTACTTTCCTATTCACAGCAAAATATATCTGCATCTTTTTCCCCCAAACTCAGCATTGGAGGGTTTTTTATCTTTCACCAGGCTTGCTGGGATGCTGCTCCGTATAGCCTCTAGTCTGAGAATCTGCTTACAAATTCCAGTGGCACATTATTTAAATAAAGGATTATGAACAAACAATAACTTTAATCTAGTGTAGATCTTTATGCAGGTTGTCTTGCAGGAGTCTAGACAGTTCTAGAGTAGCCAGTTTAAAATGCAAAATGTATGAACTCCCATTGCTCGTAGCAAAGAATTTCCCCTCCTGTTACTTGACAGTGGCAGTTGGCTGGAGCTTCTGAAAGTGTAGCCTAGCCAGTGGTCCTTGGAACCTCTGTTTTCATCTAAACAGAGGAAGGGACAGCAGATGGAAAAGCCGAGGCTTTGAAAAGCAAGTTTTGCCCAAATTTCTCCCTCACTGCTGCCACCAGCAGTGAGGATTTCTGATCTTAGAGGAAAGAAAAGTTGCCCAAGAGGCATCTCTGGAAGTGTGTGATTAGCTGCTCTGCTCTGACCTCAGAACACTTCTAAGCACTTTCAGTCAGCATTTGAAGTAAACAACACACAGAAACAATTTTTATCATCCAAATATTAAAGGCTTGGATTGACTTGAGAAGTAACTTGAATTCTGAAGTCCAGCTTGATAGGGTGAGTTGAGAATTTCCTGCGAATCAGATTGTAATATAGGCTGTAGATGCCAAACTGAAAAACCTACATAGCACCCCCTTTCTCTGGGGGTTTGTAAAGGAGAGGAAAAATTTGACAAACTGTCTTGGAACAAAAGAATCCAGGAAAGGCAAATGCTATTTCTGTCCTTGTTACTAACAAGCTTTGTCAGTGTCTCTTGGATTGAACATGAGTCACGGTTCTTGGCGTACTCCCATAGTACCAATCCAGTTGGGAGCTATGACTTCAGCCCTGGAGGAGCTAGGCTGTGGGACCGAGCTCGGCTCGCAGGGAGGGCCAAGCCTGGACAGGAGCTGTAGCAGTAAGTTGTGCCAGTTGGAATCTTCCTCCAAGTGGCCATCATCTCAGCAGAGCCGCCAGTGATAATGTGTAGCCATTCCAGAACAATACTAATGTTCTTAAATTGTTATTGTCCTCTTGTCCTGCAGAATGTGTTCTCATCACTTCTGAAACCAATTTCAGAGCAAATCCAGGTGGTTCAGAATTTCAGGGAGAAGAACCGTGGTAGCAAACTGTTCAATCACTTGTCAGCAGTCAGCGAGAGCATCCCAGCCCTGGGCTGGGTGGCCATGGTAAGAACTTCTGTGGGAATTGGTTTCCTGGGGCTGGTGGGGAAAGTCTGGCACCCTGGTCAGCTGTTCCATGCCAATGTGTTCTCTCTTCTTTAGGCTCCAAAGCCAGGTCCTTATGTGAAGGAAATGACCGATGCTGCCATGTTTTATACCAACCGGATCCTCAAGGAGTACAAGGATGTGTGAGTTCACCTTCTCTCTTAAAGATGTCATTGAACACAGCTAACTGGGTGTGTAGGGGCTACTCCAGTATCTAACCACAGCTGCCTTGGTCTTCATTCTTCTTTTTAAAGGCAGGGTGTATTTATAAAGCCTCACTTAGCTGTTCTTTCCTGATCCTTAGGGACAAGATTCCTTGCATTCATGTTGCAGCTGGAATCTCTGGTAGCAAGTCTATTGCTGCTTTTGTCTCGGCAT